GTGGAGCAGATTTCGTTGCTTGGTTCAGCCAAAGTACCCTAGCGCGTAACGTCTTTAGTTGTATCCGCTGACGAAGTTTGATTGAAAAATGCCGATCCCAAAGGATAATTGCTCCGTCGAATGGCGATTTTGTCGGCATGTTTTTTCACTTTTGTTGCATGATCTGTCAGTGCAACGCATCCACGTGAGCCATAGTTAATTAAGTCACTACAATACACACAATAAGCTTTGCCTGCTACGTCAAAGCTTATTGTCCAAGAGCTTCTGTAACTTCGTCGAACTTGGAACCAATTTTAACCTTTACAGTGACTTTTCTGTCAAGCCAGTCCAATCGGAATTTATTCTTGACATTTGAGTCAATTTCTAGGATTGAAGACTCTGATCTTTCGTCAAAAATTTCATAATTCCGCTCAAAACGATCCCAGAACAATGAATTTGCGAGACGAACGGGCCGCCATGAATCAGGTAAAACAATATGTTACATGCAATTTGATTGGTCCAATCGCTTGTGGTTAACCAATCGCTGGGCCGTTTATAATCGAGCTAAGACTTCCGCAACAAATAATGCCTTCAGTGATCTGATTAGTTGAAGCTTTCATACACGTCCAATCGCAGGGCTGTTTACAAACGGAAAACGGAGAGACTGTTCGGGAGAGCTCGTGAAAACTCGACGATAAGGTATCTGACCGCCCCTAAATTTTTCTCAACGGATTTAGACGATTCACAAAAATGATCAATTTAAGAAATAAAACGGCGGATTTCCGCGGATCCGCGGAAAATTGCCATGTATGACTTAAGTGCCAATTTCACAACTGGATTTGTTGCGCAGGTGCCATCCTGTGACAGCTCCACGCCTGATTCGGGTCATTTGGTTGGGTGAGCAAATATTTTTGGTCATAGAGTGTAGATTCATAAATAAAACAACGATCATTCACATTTCCATGAAAGTTATGGGCTTAGTTTGAAGCTATTCTTTGATCACCTGCAGATCCTGCGAAAGTTTGTTAAAAAAAATAAAAAAAAATCAAAAAAAGTGCATCTGCTCACTGCATCTTCTTCCGAGCAAGCAGAGCCAGCTCCTTGGCCTGACGCCACTTGAGCTTCTTCTTGATGAAGAGCAGGTCGATGTAGACGATGTGGTCCAGCACGGCCGAGGCACACAGGACACCGCCATGCAACGCGCCCGCTATTCCGCAGCTGAATACGTCTTGACCTGGAAGACGACAACCGTTTTTTCCTCTTAGCCAACTTAACACATGACTCCTTCCTACCTTAACTTGGAGGTAATTAAAAGCTATGACATGACTGTGTCGTATCACAATAAATATGACATCCCAGCGCGCATGCAGAATTCCTCTTTTCTCATGTAGAGTTGTACAGGTGAGGTAAGGTGACCTGAGAAAAACAGTTCCAACTTGCATGCGCATATCACGGGTCAAAAATTTATTCCATGGGAAAAAAATGACTGCTTTGGCAATTTAGGAACTCATTTCTTGTCATTTGGAATACGATGTTAAAATGATTCTACTCGTTATCGGTTTCTTGAGGTCAATACATCACCTTTTTTTTTGTTTGTTTTGTTTTTTTTAATAGTGGCTCGAACAGAGTTGCAAAGTACAGCGATCAATTCATTAAGTTGGCAACATTGACGGTGCTCGATGTTTGCAGCTGTGTTAGTGGAAGCAGTGCACATCACACATCAGCGAGCGAAGTTGGATATACAGTATACAAAATTTTGGAGAATTTTTTTTGTCATCGTCCTATAACTATTATTATTATTATTATATATATATTTTTTAAACACCAAGTCACTTTGCCAATATTATTACTACAGTGCATATGAGCTAAGGACAGTGGATAAATCTTGAAATTTGTTTCAATTTGGTTAACATTATGTATTGAGCGGGAAATGAATATTTCGGTTTAAAAAGGAATTGAGGGGTACAGTTATGTTCAATTGGCATTCGGATTATCAGAGGGGGGGTCCATGGAATTTTTTTACCCCCTGTATTGGGTCCCCGTACCCCAAAACCCCGATTCTAACTTAAAAGCCTGGGTTGCTTGCTCTGTGTCTGACATCTGAGGGTTCTTACCGGAGAGGTAGAGGTTTTTAACAGGCGTGTGGCAGCGGTTCCTCGCCACCGCCTCGGCTTGGAAGCGCTCCAGGTTGTGCTCCGCTGAGTACATGGCTCCGCGCTGGGCGCCCAGGTAGTGCATGTTGGTCAGAGGCGTGGCCACGTCCTGGAAGACCAGCTGGGAGGGCAAACTGTGGTGGTTATAAAAGGATGTCCACCGGACAGATCGCCGACGTCCCCGCGACCGACAACCGACCTTGTCTTTGATTTTTGGGAACAACTGACAAGCCCAGTCGAAGAGCTTGTTGGCAAATCTCATTTTGTAGTTGTGATATTCGTCGCCACGTTTGCGGACCGCCGTGTCCTTCCACTCCTCGAACCATTCGTATTTCACCATGGTCAGGATGGTCATGCAAGATTTTCCTGTGGTGGACACCATTTATGGATGTCAAAACAGCCATCTATACATTTTTTTCCAGATCCAACTTAACCGAATTCGGGTGAGCGGGTGACTTTTTGACAAAGAAACATGCTCATCTTCACTTTTGTGGACGAGTCTTCAATGAACCTAAGTGTGAGGGGAAGCCAAAATACCCAAGCACCATGTCCTCGAAAACACTAATGTGTAGCTTTGTACCAGGGTGTCTTATCTTGGCCTCTGGGTCTTTGGAAGACGGCATGGTGATGAACATCATGGGGATGTTGTCTGGTGCTTCCTCTTTGCTCAAACTAAAAAAGTCCTCCATCCTACAACAAACACAAAAAGGACACATTTAAAATGGAGATCATCCAGACATTTAAAAAAAACAAAAAAACAATTTGGACTGCTCTACGCGTTTACTTACGATTTGTCCATGTCGTTGTTTTTGAACAGCCAGAAATTTGTGGACTCTAGACCGAGCTCCTCCTCTGTGCCGTCGAAACCAGAGAAGACCAAAAAGGATCCCCGACCGTGCTTCATCATGTTCAGCCTCTCCTGAATGTCTGCAGAGGAATAGCGTTTCTTCGTTCTGAACGTCGTACGTTCTAACTTTGATAAACCAAAAAAAAAAACGTTGCTTTTGCATCACCTGGCTTGACCTGGATCTCAGGGGGGAGAAGTTTCTGGAAGGTGGTAAAGATGCCGCAGTTTGAGACAACCACCGGTGCGTGGATCGCCACCTCTTCTCCGCCTTTCCTCACCTTCACGCCTGCAATGTGACGCAGAGATGAAATCTTGACTTCAAGAGTCTTCAGTATCCTACCTGGGATTCAGTTTCGTACCGTGTGCCGCCCCCTTGTCGTCAACCAGGATCTGCGAGACGGGTGCTCGCACGAGGCAGTTACCGCCGTACTTCTGAATGGTGCGGATGATGTTGAAGGCGATCTCGCTGGCGCCGCCTTTGGGGTAGTATGCCCCTCGCTTGTAGTGATGGACCAGGAGGGCATTTATCAAAATACTGGAATCCTTTGGAGGTACACCTAAGATGTAGAAAACATTTCAATGACTCAAACACTGGAAGACTTTTGGTAAAAATTGGAGAGAATCTGTGCGCGGACCAATACAAACATTGACGAGCACACAGTATGCGATTGCAGGCTGAGCAACACCACCGCACGCAGTCTAAAGGAGGCGTTTGAAGACACACCGTAGAAAAGGTACGAGAAGATGACGTGGAGATCCTTGTTGGCGGTCAGTGTGTTCACCAGGTCGGTCGCGCACGTTCCGCTGAGACGGAAAACCGGTGAGAGGAGGTCTGCGATTCCTGACTTCAACAGGAACAGAGACAGCCACTGCGGGATAAGCTTCAGGGTCGCCAGGTAGTGAGTCTTCTTGGCTGAAATCTGGCACACATCAAAGTGGGGTTCACTATGCAGAACTGGTTGAACCCAATGAGATAAGCAAGCCTCTGGTCCTTAAACCTTCATGATCTTGAAGAAGGTCTCAATGGCTTCCGCGTCATCGGGAAATTGCTTCAAGAGGTGAGATTTCATCTCTGTTTTGCCCGAGACGATGGTGTACTCCCGCTTGTCTTCCCCCTGGCCGATTTGTATCGTGTCGAAATGGGGGTTTAGCTCCTGGAACTCCAACTGGCCCTCGGACAGTTGGTCAAAAATGATGCGAAGCAGACTGTTCTTGTGCAGCTGACCAATGTAGTGAAGGCCTGCCAAACAGCAATATAGGGCATTTTATCACTTGGATTAGCGATCGATATTGAGGATATGCTTATACAGTAATCAGTATTAGAGGGTAGGTTTACCGTTGTTTGGGTTTGTATTAGCATACCGATGTAAAACTTTTCAACATGTATCTCACCTCCTGAGGAACTCGAAGGGTTAGAATTAGGGTTAAGGTTTACGGGTTGCTGATACGATTACGGGGTTAGCATAAGGCACAGGTGTCAAAGTCAAATCCCGGGGGCCAGATCTGGCCAGCCACATCATGTCAAGTTCCATGATGCTTGCTAAAGTCTGAACCAAAATTTCAAATTTTGTCACATACAATTCACAATAACAGTCATTCTTGACGTCTGATGTCAAAACTAGTTATTCATCAATTTGTTGTGCGCTGTACGCGAATATGTGGAGGGGATTAAACATTTATATGGCTTCCCAAAATTCATAACAGCCCTCTAAGGCAAACCGTAACTACAATGTGGCCCGCGATAAAAATGAGTTTGACACCCCCGGCATAAGGCTAATGTTAGCATTGTGATTAGCCGTTCGTGGTAGGGGGTAGTTCGTGTTTGCATTTTCGTACCAACATCAAACTCGAAGCCTTTCTCGATGTACGTGTGGCAACAGCCTCCGGCTTGGTCGTGTTGCTCCAGAACCAGAACCTTCTTGCCAGCCTTGGCGAGCGTGGCACCGGCAGCCAGTCCGCCGATGCCGCTTCCGATTACGATCACGTCGAGGTCCCGTGGCACCTTGTCCAAGCTGAAACCTGCATACGTTGATTACATAAGCAAGTGAGGGATGACGTTGACGAGCTTGTCAACGGTCCAGACATCATAAATGTTATTGTGTTGCACAATTGTCAGCGCGTTACGGTTTGAAGGTTAATCTATTTTCTTCAAGCTTTTCAACACTCCAATTGACAGTCGATAGCGTATTCAGCAAGTCATAAATCAGTTACGATGAACGAAGCCGTCGTACCACCGCTCATTTTTATTGAGGCTCTTGAAAGCAAAAATAGGTTATTTAGAGAAAACTTTTTTTCTACTAGCTCATCTCAGCATGACTGAAAAGTGCGCTGTTTCAACCGTATTTAAAAGTCGCCTTGCTAACCAAGAGTTTGCTAATAGTAACAGAAAGCACGATTTTTTTAAAAATATCTAAATTAAACAAATTTGAGTTTTGTACACTGTATTTATGCTCCATGCAAAAATTAACTTTTCCATAGTTTCAATGTAAATCACGCACATAACACTGAATAAAAACATGAAAATGGATGTTGAGATATTCATCGTGTATTTTCGTATTTTTTCACCTGTACATGCGCCATGCTGAAAGTTGACCCGAATATTTTGCTAAAATATGGAAAATTAGAAACGGCTCTCAATATATACACAGTATAGGACACATTTGCTAAATGCTCAAACTAAGTTGAGCTCGGTTCAAAGTTGCACCTAGAAAATGGAATAAAAACAGGAAAATTTTACATTTTAATAAACTATTTTCAGAAGTTTTCCACAGTATGCTCTTCATCATGAGAATTGCTCATATTTTTTGCTAAAATAAGATAAATGTGGTTGACGGTTTTAACCAACTTGCAGTAGGAGGCATGTACAAGCACAATATTTTTGGGGAAAGTGTCAATCAATACAGCAATGCAATGAGAAACCAATGACGTGTTTGTAGAGCGTTCATTATCTTACCTTGCTTGATGACTTTGTCCCGCTTCTTCTGGTCAAACTCTCGGGGTCCAGGAGGCCTGACAGAGTTCAGGGAGAAGGGGCTGCGCTTGCCAAAGAGGTACCAGTAGGTGCACCCCAGCCACACTAGCAACCACGCGATGAATACGAGGAGCCACATGGTGGATGTGACGGTTTGTGAATGTTTCTCCCGTCGGGACGCACCTTTTAGTAGGCACAAGTGGATCCTGGCACGGGGCGGGGAGTTAAATAACATAACACCATTCATATCATACACAAGTCATAAAGATAAGGCCTTTGGGTTACTAAGATTTTTACACCATGGTAGCTTTGATTTTATTTCACATTTTAAACATATTCACACTTAATTTTACACTAAACAAGTAAAAAAGAAAACCATTAAGAGGCTTTGCAATACATTTTGTTTTTGCAAGCCGCCACCATCACGGCTTATCATGATAGGTCAGGTATCTTCAATTATGCTTATCTGATAAGGCAATTAAGATAAAAAAAACGTCCAGTGGATGAGTCATTTTCGACTTGTGTAAAGTGTTCCAGTTAGTGGATCTTGGCGACCACGGAGCTGACTTTACACAAACACGAGGAGGCATGTTAGAAAATGGTGCAATGACCCATTTTCTATCATGTAAACCACTTCGTGCAATCCGCAATCACATCATCAACATGAACAAGGTAAGACCATTTACACGGGACTGTAAGTTATGCTATCAAGCTTGCAAACTTAGAGCCGCATTAAAAGCAAGTTGTAAACACTCTGTTGATGTTGTAAGATATAAAGAAGAAAACAAACATGTAACCATTCACGATACCAGAAACAATACAGAGTAACGGAAGTCAGCCCAAGGTCGCCAAACGATAAACAACCAGTGACATCTGAGGATTGGCTAACACGTTGTAAAGGTGCTGATATGGGCTAAACAAGGTCAAAGGACTAATGCCAGTAACCTTAAATGCCACATCCGCTCAAACGAATATTGTGACTTCAGCTTTCTAGCAATGATGTAAATCAACAAAATTCACTTGTGAGCAAGAATTCATGGGGCACGAATATTTTTGCCCCATCGCAGAAGAACAAGAAGCAAGAAGACACACAAACATCATTCGGGATAAATTTCACTGACAGAAAAACTTGCTAACATGAATGACAATACAATTGTTTGGTTTATTATTGAATTATGTGAAGCTTTTTGAGATGCGGAATTATTTCGGAAAAAATGTCCCTTTTTTTTCTCCACAAAAATGTTATTTCCACGGACACAAGATCTTAGGGGAAACTGTCTAATCCGTAAAGTCACACTTTATGGATTACAGTGTACTCGTAAGAAATCGTGAAAATGCAAAGTTTCCATCATCAAGTTGTTCAATAATGAAAGGGATAAATGCATCAACTGCTGGCAGCCACAATCTGCTTCCTGGCCCATCCAATTAGTGGATGAAGTGAAGCTTCAGAAAGAAGCAGGAAGTGACGCCGGGACACCGCCAAATGCAAGTAAATCCTATTAGAAGTTTGGCTAAAGCGGTTAACCTTGTTTGAGCGTTACGAGCATTAAAAGTGCCATAGGATAAAAGTGATAAAAAAAAAAAAAAAAGTCAGGACTCATCTTTCTTGAAGCCAGTTGCATTTAATTACAAAGAGCCATACTTTACATATCTGATCTTGCTAGCGTGCTGTACATTCCATCTGCGGGAATTCGGTCGGTGGTCGTAGAAAATTCCAGCTGTGTGCTATGTGATTAGACAACCGCCCTTGTCCCCTTTGTAGGGGTTTTTGTCATCGGGGACTCCCTTGATGAGTGGGTCGTTGGGAAGCAGCGCCTCCACAAAGGAGATTGTGTCTGTGCAATTTGCACTCACCTGGAAAATAAGTCACATATCAGATTGGGAGCATTTGAGATGCAATATAAAAGGGTGAAATGTAATTAAATTTTTCATTAATAGACATACTGCTGTCCTTGGTGTGTTCACTTCTTTCTTCAGCTGCTCCAACTCCATTTTCAAGATCTCTTTATCAGACATATCCCGAGCCATCCTGACTGTAGAGAGAAACCAACAATCTTCAGTGCAAAAAATCCCACTTAACATCAACACATCCCAAATGATCGGAAATTCTCAATAGGAATATTTACCTGTGGAATGGCGGGGATCGCCGACAAGCAAAGTGGAAAAAAGTCTCCGAGTAAAATCTTATGTACGGTCTTCGCACCGACTGACCGACTCATCCTGTCCCACTGCTCTTCAGCCCGGCTCATCTGATCACCTGATGTCGCCAATCCGCCGTGATTGGATTAAACATTCAAGAATTGTGACCGCTTTGAGTAGGAAACGATGACGTAGATTTGTAGACAAAACTAATACCACACACACACACTTTTCCATGGTTTTACAGAACAAAACTTTGAAGCATTCACAGTGCAGTGTGGAAAAGTATGTGACTCTTTTCATTTCATAGCTGGGTCCTTAAATAGGTGCCGATGAGCAGCAGGGCCAATAATAATGCAAAAAAAAATTAAGACATCCTTTGTTTAATCTCAGCCAGGCATGGCTCTAGATCACAGCAATTGTGTGGGTTTGTTATTTCTAAAGACGAAGTGCATATCATCGGCATAACAGTGAAAACGTATGTATTTACATATCACCACGCAGAAGCATGTAGATCATAGGTATCAAACTCAGGTACTGGAGGGCTGCTGTCCTGCATGTCTTCCAAGTCTCCCTGTTGTAACACACCTGGCTCAAATGAACAGGTTCAATGTCAGGCTTCCGCAGACCTTGCTGATGATCTGATCGTTTGAACGAGGTCTGAAGGACCGTGTTGCCCTGTTTTTTTTCTATCTACACCTTAAGCAGGAGTCAGCGCTTAAGCCTTTTTCAAAATCTGGGTTAGGCTCTTTCACACGACAGTTTAAATTCAGTGACGTCGCCATGGATTAGCCACAATGGATACCAAAAACAAACAAATTTACAAAAATCTTCAAAATTTGTATCGTGCAAATCAGCTTTCATGAGTAAATACATTTTGCCACTTGCACTTGGCAGGGTCTCATTTGACAAATTATAGTGCCTTTCCTTTGTTTTTGTTGGAAAACACAAACGTGCGACAGCACGACAAGTCTCAATTTTGAGCTATAACGCTTTCATTTTTAAGTATGTAAACTCAACGAGACATAACGACCTCACCAAACTGGGAGAAAAACAGCAACCACAAGACACACGTGGACGTAATCTTGCACTTCCCCTCTAAGTGGCAGCGTCAGAAATGTCCTCGTAAAACATTCCCGTACCCTGCAGTTCTGTCAGCCAATGGCAAGACGCCTTCTTCTCGCGCGAAATGTCTCTTTCAAAATAATAGGTTACGACGACTCTATTGTAGTCTCTACGTTGTCGAAAAAGACATTGGCTTTTACTTTGACATGATGTAGTCCGATGAGGCACGGTCGTCGTAAACGACCAACATGGCGGCGCCGAATAGGAAGCAGCTGTTGAGGTTTCTCAGCCAGTTTGGTGCTTTTATTTTGACCCGCTTTGGATTCTGGAACTGCTTCTGTATGCTAATGCTGTTTGCCGAACGAGCCGACTCCAAAAGGTAAAATATACATAGATATATTTGTAAATACGAGGTCTTTATAAGCCGCAATGTTTGGGTAAGTTAGCCAAAAGCTAAACCAAAACAAACAAAAAAAATCAACCCCCTTTGACATTTATTGTGAAGGAACGTCGTATTTATAGACGATTTACGTATATTTGCTCGTGGAATCGAATCGTTTCTGGGTCTCCATAGTAGGGAGGTCAAAATTCGGTTTTGGGTGTCCTGTATATCGTTTGCGTGTGTTGGTCTTTGAGACCTCCACGCACTGAAGACCTGTAATTACGTAGAATCGTGTAATTATTACTCCAGCTCTCAAGTTTCAACCATCTTGTGCCCTGAACATTAAAAAAAAAAAAAAAAAAAAAAGCTAAAATAACTTTTTTTTCAGTTGAATCGATATTTTAGCTTGCTTGCCATTCCTCTTTTGGAAACTGCTTATTTCTCACATCTGCGCAACAAGATTCAGTTTCTTAGAAGTACACGAGTTGGGTCTTATTGTGTAAGACGGTCAAAAAAGTTTTGAACCATCAAGCACGGCAGGTAAATTTAAAGCCCCTTTTACTCTGTAATACACGAAGACACTTGCCAAAGTAGAATATTTTGTGAGTGAGCTGTTTATTGTTTCAGTGCACACAAAAACCGGGACACGGACAAGAGTCATGGCTTTGTGTCATCGTTTTTCCATTATTTCTTGTTCAGTTTGGAGGGTCTGGATTTAAAACAAAATAAATCATCTTTCAATCCACATGCATGGATGCCAATCGGACACATGTGAATTGTTGAATCGTTTGCAGGCGGCAGAGTTTTAATCACAGACACCTGCATTGCAGAAATAGCGCCGACTGTCAATGCTTGTTAGCGGCTTCACATTTTAAAAGGACTGAGGAAAAAAAAAAAAAAGGAAGATGTAGCTAAAATAACTTTTACATGTAGATGAATTTAAATTTTGCAAAATACAATAAAAAAAACTTCAAAATAATTTATTTTCAGATCAAATCAGTAATGGTTTACAATAAAATTAAATCAAAACGTTCATCGCTAGTGTTAAATATTGTGCGTCTGAAAAAAATTATTTGCTACTCACCAATCCGCCTATCATAAGATTTTTTTGGGGAATCCCTGTTATGCGCTTAAAAGTACAGTATACAGTATTCACTGGTCTTCCCACTCTTCATGGAACAATAAGTTGCCACTAGATGGCGCCAAAGTATCACTAAAATTTGACAAGGTTGTGGTGCCATCTTGGTGCTGAGGAAAAGAGGGGATACACCTTTGCTCTCCTCATGCTTTTGGAAAACTGATGTCAAGTCTAGTGTAACATATGGTTCATTGCTTTCCTCTTCTCTCATGCTAATAAGGTTTAATACAATATTAATTGAATACTATGATTACATTATTGTGTTGTTTTGACACAATCTATACATTTTAAACTAAACATGTTTAGAAGAAAAAAACACATTGATAATTGTGCATCACATCTGTAAGGCGGACGTAAAACTCATCAACGAAATGATTAAGCATCGTTTGGATTGTCGCCTACAGGAAGCCAGACATCCCTGTGCCGTACCTGTACGTGGACATGGGGGCGGCGGTGCTCTGCGCCAGCTTCATGTCGTTTGGAGTGAAGAGGCGTTGGTTTGCCATGGTTGCCGCCATCCAGGTAGCGGTCAGCACATACGCATCCTACATTGGGGCACAGGTGCACTACGGCGACTGGCTTAAGGTGAGCGTCCCGACAGGTGTCTGTCAATCGTGACAAAACTAAGTGGACAAATGAGCGGCCTCTCAACAGGTGCGCATGTACTCCCGAGCGCTCGCCATCATCGGGGGCTTCCTTGTTCTGGCCAGTGGGGCGGGAGAGGTTTACCGGAGGAAAGCTCGCAGCAGGTCCCTGCAGTCCACCGGACAAATCTTCCTGGGAGTCTATCTCATCTGTGTGGTAAGATCTCTATTGCAACACTCATCCTACATGATGCATCTTGGACCCTTTTCATTTTGTAAAACCATATTAGGCTATACATGTTGCACGGGGTGTGGGGGGGACGGGACTGATCTGATCAATTTAAAAAATGTTTTCCATTGTCACCAATAGCCCTTTGAAAGAAACAAAACGATACCTGTGGGTGTGTGCTTGCAGGCGTACTCGTTGCAGCACAGCAAAGAGGACCGCCTGGCCTACTTGAACCACCTACCAGGCGGCGAGGTGGCACTGACGCTGCTGGCTGCGGCATTGGGCGCGCTGGCTGTGGCCTTCCTGTCTGGGCGCTACGTGCGCACGGCGGCACAAATCCTCGCCACGGCCCTGCCATTGGTCGTGCTGCTTATCGACGGCAACCTGGGCTACTGGCACCACACGCGCAAGGTGGAATTCTGGAACCAGATGAAACTCATCGGGCACAACGTGGGAATTTTCGGCGCAGTGCTCATCCTGGCGACGGATGCCTAGGAGATCATCCGCTGGGAAAAAGGAAAAAAAAAAACTGTCCACATGCTGTCCCCGAAGCCTTCTGGTGCAGTCCTACATCTTCGGGGTTAAATTAGTCTGAAAGGGAAACTCCAAGATGATTGATGCTCTGTAACAGCACCCTTAACACTATTTGTTTTTTTTTTCTTTGCAAGCTTTTGATGTAAATATATCCTTTTATACATTTGCATTGTCATTTTGATGTCATTAAAATGATATGATCTTATAAATTCACTGGATGGAGTCATTTGGATTAAATCCAACTTCAATTGGATTATTTCTGTAATATAATTTTTTTGAGTTATATCATTCAAATCTCTGGTGTTCAGACAATTGCATTTTTAAAAACCAAAACTATTAATATTTTCCCTTTTTTTTCCTTCACATTTTTGTTATTTCAAATTATTGGTGTCCCACACGACAATGACACTTCACGGCTAACCACGTTTTGATATAAATTTAGCTTAGTCAAAAAAAAAAAAAAAAAAAACCTATGGCTTTTCAAAAATGGCTAAAATTTACAGTCAGAATTTTTGTTACGTTTATTTTAGAAAATGTCCTTTAAAGTGTGGCGTTTCAAGTCACATTTTGTTTTAAAATACAGAAAATACAGACAGTAGAACATGGGAGACGGCCAAAACAAACAAACAAAAAAAAAAAAAGATGACAGAAAATAAAGCTAACAAGCCTTTCTGACTGCGCTAGTTTTTGTCTTTTCTGAAATGAAACTGAAGGCGAAGAGAGGGAAGGAAGGGATGGGAGGGGGGAGCGGGAGGCAGGATTCAAGTTAGTTAAGGAAACTATGGTGGCTTTTATGGTTCATGATTAAATTATTCTTTATAAAGTCTAATTTTAAGATTTTATCTTTCTCTCTTTCGCATTTTTTTTTCTTTTTTATCATCTTCATGATCCAGGAAGGAACTTCAGCGCACCGCCTCGTAGCGGACGCCTGCGCTTAGGACAAGGAATGCCGACTCGGCTTGGCGGTGGCAGCAGGAGCGGGAAGGGCGGGCGCCCGCCCCAGGACCCCATCCCTACAACCGCCTCATCCTCCTATGCCGCCGCCGCCCGGCCTCCCCACGGCGGCGCCTCAAGAAGATAAAGTGGAGTCCTTCTGTGTTTGCTGTGCTTGTGAACGCTGCATGGACTTCTGACTTTCCACGTCTCTAAAATGTTTCTCCACCTGTGCAGGGGGAAACGAGGGGGTTGGGGGGGTGGGCGGGGACCGTGTCAATGTCACCATGGCGACAACTTCCCCATTTCCTCTCCTTCACATTATACAGGCTTTTCACACAGTTGAGAGACAAACAATCCGGTAAGTTTTTGTGGTAAACACATGCAGTATACTGTAGATTATATATATATATATATTTTTTTTTTTAATCAAACACAAAAATGTAGCGCAATTGTCGATTGCTGCAAAGTAGAGGGGAAAAAGGACAGGGTGGAAATTGAGAGGCGATTGGCACTGAACAATTGCCTCATTTACTGTCCTGCCCCCGTCCATGCTTTTCGGCGACTGATTCCCCACGCTGTTTTCATTTTATCAGCATTTTGTAGAGAAATCGCCGGAATTCCAAAGGATTCATAAGCTTGTCAGTGTGTATGAGTTCACAGAAGGCCAGCCTGCTCCATCTATTCTTTTATTAACAGTACTGTAATATTGCTGTAATTTCGTGAATTAAATAATTTAAAGTACAACTCAAAACATTTAAATCATTTTTCTAATACTTAAATATCAAAAAAAGAATAAATAAAAAATAGAAATTGACTGTCAGCAAACATTTTCCCACCCGATTTAGGATATTAGAAACTTTAAACTGACATTTTCCAAAGAGGGAGAACAATTATGTGGAATCAGGCATCTACTACAGTAGACCGACAGTACGACTTCATTCCGGTGTGGCTGCAAATAGCTTTACCATTATAAACAAAGAAATATTTCAAAATAGAACAGACTACTTTTCAAAGTCATACACGTTTAACCTTTAAGGAGCCACCCAGATTGTCTGATTGTTTTGTTCGAAACGGCAAGATAAACGATTCACGTGAAAGTAATCATCAAGATTAGCGTACTCACTATTTTGCGTACATGACTTAAAGCGCTTCCCTCTTTGCCTTTGCAGTTGTCCACCTGGTAAGGCGGCGAGATGACGACGTCGTCCATCACGATAATGTTCTTCTCCTGCCATTTACACTCTTTGATGCTGCGCACGTGGAGACGAGAGCATTGAGTTGACAAGAACATGGAGGGAAAACAACAACCACAACTATGCGCAGTTGAACTTGATGGTGCTTACGTTTTGTGAATAGTCTGGAATAGCTGCTGGCCCTCAACAGACACCCCAGCACTGATTGCATAGGCTTGGGACAGCTTGTCCTCCTTTTCTGTCTTTGCTCGATTGGCAAGCTGGAAAAAGAAAAAAAAAAGGGGGGGGGGGCTCAGCTGAATTAACACGCCCATTTAGCCACAACATCAAACATGACATGAAAGAACACAGTTGAAAGAAATAAAAAATTGAGGACCCATTTGGTGTCTACTTCTAACGGCGTCTACCACAATAGCTCCAGTTAGCCATGAGCTTTTAAATCATCTTGAAATGCGCAAAAACGTCTACAATACACGGACATTCGGTGCTTCCGTACGAGGCCTAAAATGTCCATTCATCCATTTTCAATGCCACTTGTCCTCATTCGGGCCGCATGTAAGCTGGAGACTATGAGTGCTATTGCTTGCCAGTGATCTGGTCAGAGGACTGTCAAAACATGGACACAGCGCAGACTTCATTTATCAGACAATTCTGATAAAGTCAAACTTGCATCAGTTTTTTTTTTTTTTTTTAATATGCGCTCACTGTGGTCCTGTTTGCAAACACGCAGCTGTCACACTGACCTTGCTGACGTTCAGCGATGCTAGAGGGGGCGGAGTCTCAGTGCGGTCGGTGATGATGTCCACTTCGGAAACGTAGGCTAGGTTGATCAGAACAACGTCGCTGAGGTTGGGCTTGCCGCTGGAAGAAGCACATTCTGGAGGCGGGTAGTCAAGGACTGCGGCACCAGAGCGGGTGACAAACAAGCCTGTCAAACAACTGACTTGATACAAAATATGAGGGGGTGGGAACTTGTTTTCATGAGTGACCAACGGTCAGCCGCTGGCTTTTTCGAATTTGGATCACCGGCGCATGGCGTTGCAACATCGCGGATGCAAGCGGCAATCAAAAACATCCATGAGCTTCCTTTCACACACCCCCCAAAAAAATGTTTCCGGCGGCAAGATGAGCCATGCAAATACAGTATACATATATTGTGCTTCACAACAATATTTAAATCTTTTTATAATTTCATAAGTACCTGGGCATGAGGGGGAAAAGTGTCCAATCCACAATGACAATTACAGCTAGAAGTAGATTATATCGGCAATCAAATTTTTTTGGGCAACATGCAGAAATCAAATAGGTGGTGGGTCCGCACAGCAAACGAGCATGTTGCAATATATTACTAAATGTAGCAAGTCGCTTGCAAAAAGGAAAAAAACAAAACTGATAACGTCGCCAAAGAAAGGTTACGACAAGCATGTCAACCGTGATCACTTCGCACGCAAAAAGTCGACAGGCTCACAATCCTCTTCCGCCCTCCACTGATCCCACCCCTCAATACATGCATCCAATCAGAAAACAGACACCTCGGCCCTGTCACACGATGTGTGGCGGGCCGGAGGAGCAGGGTGGTTTGGGCGGCATCTCTGCATTTTTCAGCCAATAGTCGTTGGGTTCTACAGAAACATTTACAAAGGGGGCAAATCACGAATGGGCGAAGGTTCACTGTGTGGTACAGTACACACAAGAAGTATATTGGGTTTTAGGTGAAACTTCAGGCAGTCTTGTTCACATGTTGCCATGATGAGACCAAGACAACATCAAACAATTGAGCTGAGTGCAACCATGTTATCATCAAGTTGCATCAAAGAGAGACAGAGAAAGAGAGTGAAAGTGTCACAGGAAGATGTCCTTGGAAATATACCGGTTGATGCATGGATCAAACTAATGAAATTTTGCTATTCGGCCCCTTGTGAGAGAACACAAAGGTCACACTGAAGCATTGAACGCTTGGATTTGTCTATTCAAAACTTCAAAGGGAGTTGCGGTGCATTCTAGTTTTGTACACAAATTTTAACCAAAAAGTCCACAACATCTCACTTTTTTGTGAGTAGTAGTGTATAACAGCAGCCGTGAGGTTATTTTGCCTCACAGACTGTTTTCACAAAGACATTTTGACATGCCCAGCATAGAAACAAATACAACTCAGCATTATGCTAATGTTGTTCCTTTGATACAGCTTCTGTTTTGGAGAAGAAGTTATAGGCTCTCTTTCTCAATACTTGGCCTCCTTTTTTTTTTTTAAAGAAAAGCTCTCCGAAACATGTTTGTTTTACTCGTTTTTGCTAGCTGGAGGGCATACTACTTTCCTTACGACGTGCACAAGCAAATGCACTCGATTACTAGAATATCACTTCCTACAGGCTCTGATGGTAAATGGTTCAGTCTTTCTCTGTACCCTCGTAGCAAATGGCCTGCGGTTGTTGGTGACTCCTGGCAAATAACAACTGTGACCTTGAAAGACCAGGCGGTGGCATTGTGGTTCAATTACACATAAGTTTTGACTTTGCAAGCACACCTCATGATGACTTCAATGACACACAAACTGGCAGGCTTAAAAAAAATAAATCACGCTTACCCTCAGGGATGCTCAAATGCCAATGAAAAGGGACACGTGGTGCTAATTGCTAATCATTTTTAAGACAATAGAGCCGACTGTATAAAGGATGGCGGTACATTGTACACATCCACTTGTAGAATCACACACCCATAAGGGGCTGCAGAATTGCTCAACATGAAGCTAGCGGCTAACAGAAGGCCCCACATGGATCGACTTCTCTCGCTCGTAACTGCGATAATTGTCAACATTTCAGTTGAAAAGCAGACTCGACTTAAGTGGCGAAAACGTGCGCGTGGGCAACTTTAACGGACGTACAGAGCCAAGGCCAGTGAGAGCTTGAACGATCCTAGCTAGCATGTTAGCCTTCCGACACAGCCCCTCATTGTGGCGAGAAGGGGAGCGGGTGGCACACGGGAAACCCGCGACCCCAAACACGCCTCACTTTGCACGTAGCCGCCACATAATTACACGAGAACACGTTCGAATTCAAACATACAGACAGCAGGCTGCGTTA